TCCATGAAATTAAAAATAAATTATAACCATGTTTACGAACCAATATATAATTTAAATATAACCCTGGTTAGTTTAATTTTCTTTAACTATAACAGTATAAAAACCTGAATTACTTTTGTCAATACTGAATACCAATTTTTAAATTATACCTGGTTTACATTATAATTATTATAATAAACAATAATCTTAAATTTAACAGGAATTCAAAATTTTGGTGCAACATCTCCAAAACAAAATTTCAACTGTTACAACACTTTAATATATATTATGGAAAATAATTCACATTTAACAACTTATAAAAAATTAGGCTGGGTTTAAAAAAAAAATTATTCGCACGTGGTTTAAGATTATCGGCGTAATTAGATTATTAAGTATCTATTTTAGGTTAATTTAACATTATAAAACTTTTCGACATTGTTAATTAAAATTAATTACTAATTTAATACGCCAGTTTGAGGAAAAAAAATACTTATCGGTCATCCGGTCCCTGGATCCAGGGCCCAGTAGCCCAAAAACGTCTACCTAAAAGAAACGTGCTACCTTTAAGAAAAAATTACGAGACTGGCTAACGCGCTCTGCGTCGAAAATTCGAAAAAAAGGGAGAAAAACAGCGCCCTCTGGCAAGCTCTGATAGGCTCTCATACCATTACGTCACTCCTACTCATTCATTACATCACTCCTCTTCAGCCATTTACTGCCTGTTGGGGAAAAATCGTTTGCGAAGGGACTTAAAACTCAAAAAAGGGGAGAAAAAAAAAAAAAAAATCGCTTGCACGCGACCCAGCCACCAGCCAATTTTACAAAACAGATTAAAACATTAAAAATAAAATAAAAATAGTTTTAACAATTCAATTAATGGTTTGTGATGTCTTGATTTTTTTTTTTGTTTATAAAAATTTATGTACCGATGAAAATTAATATATAAGTTACACAATGATACTAATAAGTAAAACACAAGGATACAGTAAGCTCCACCACCTTCTACCGCTCCGTTTGTAGAAATAGCACAAATAGACAAGACAGTTGATAGTAAAATCACATATGATAAAACAGTTGAACCTAATGTCTCTAATAATCCAGCATGACCAACTATAAAACCTGAAAATTGCAAAAATAAAACCCGATTAGTAAAAATTATGATTCATAAATATCAGATTCAATATTTCAGATAATTCTTAATTCCATTTTGATATAATTTGAGCTTACATAACCAAACCAAAATAGAAAAGTGATTTAGACAAATTTTAGAATTTTGTGTATGTTCAGAAATTCATGTTAATTTGTAATTAATGTGGAAATATAAAAAATATAAATTGAAGAATAAATATTAGATAAAATTACCTAGCTATGCAACTCCTTTGTAATTTCAATGTGAAAGTAAATAGTTTGAAGGCGAAAATCTTAATTTATTAAAAAAGTTTCAGTAATTTATAATTCGTATACACAATAGACTGCTTTAAAAAATATATTTAAAAAAATCCTTTAAAACAGAATGTTCTCCATTTCATTAAGTTAAGTACATATTATGTATATAAATTTTTTTATTTATTATTCTATACTAATTACTTAAAATTTTTTATACAGAGAACATTTTGCATTTCATAAAGAGAATCATTATAAAAAATATCACCATGAAGTCATACATTTTGAAGGTGGAAATAGTTAAAATATGTCAAAATGAATCAAATTAATATGAGAAAAATACAGAGAAAAGGCATAAAATCAAATTTAATAGATCACTATAAAGTAGTTAATTTAAATATGTATCGTTGAAATCACTAAAGAATCTATGAAAAGTTTTCAAGACATTCTATACATATAAAAAAGGCACTAAATGAATTACAAAAATATGCAATTTTAACTTGTAAATGCATCAGATACATTTTAAATATTTTTAACAGAAATATTAACTCTCTCATTTTACTTTTAAAATTTAAAAAAAAACACCATTATACAGAATGAGGTATAAAGATTAATTTATAACTCATTAGCTGTTATAAGTACTAAATTTCATAAAACAAATTTTAAATTTGTATCAAACTCCAAATGTTAGAGAAAGCTCCCAGCTCCCTACCAACCAGGCTATTTCGGCCTAAATCCAAGTCTAAACACTTTATAATTTAGATAAAATTATGCCAAATTTTTTTTAAACAATCGAATGTTTGTTAAAACCTTAAAGAAAAAAAAAACTAAATGTAATTATGAAAAGGTCTAGATACCAAAACTGAACACTGAAACCACAGTTTAATTAGAACACATATTGTTTCAAAAACTAATTAGTGAATGATCATTTAAGAAGAAATTAAAAAATAAAAATTTGAGTTTAAATATTTTAGTTTCTATCTATTGATGCTGTTGTGGCCAAAATTTTATTAGCTAAACACTATGAAACATGCAAAAAATTTTCTTGGTACAGAGACAATCCCCCCCCTTGCTAATTTNCCCCTCATTTTCAGGAAGGAAAAAAAAAAAAAAATGGAAAAACTGCAAAATCTTATCTATGAACATGAAACATGATTACTACATTTGCCTTTTTGTCTGGCACAGGAGAGGGAATTGGAAACAAAACATAGTGTAACAACCGGTTTAAACAAAACTTAATGAGACTATGCAAATAAAAAACTCAATATTTACCAACTCTCAAAAATAGCACTGCACTAAACATAGATAGTGACACAGGAACAAATACTCCAGAAAAAGTCGTAAGACTTCTGACAGTACCACCACCAGTATTACTGACATTAGTACTAGCAATGGATGTTTGCGATTCACAGCTACTTTCGTTGAAGCTGCATAGAAGCCTCACATTTCTCAACAATGGAGTTTTATCATCTAGTCTTTTTTTAGTGCTAACATTGATCTGAGAACCATCTCCATCTGTAGCAGAAGAATTAATAGAAGGTTCCATCTTAAAGCTAAAAAATAAACCACAACTGAAAACTAACGTAGTTACTAATCTTAGTATTAAACAAATTAACACAATATTAAATGCAGAAACAGTAATCCCTGGTGTGCAATCTGGAATGACGTACAATCCGTCGGCTTCACTTTTTGGTCAGACGAAGAATAAAAAAAAAAGCAGCAGAGCTCATTCTAGGCAGGGTAATCAGGGTGCAGCACCCTGCTGCCCTTTTTGTCAAAAGAATCCATCCTGTTGTCCCTGAAGAAAATTAGTGCCCTGATGTAATAGACTCCATACTCTTTTGGGCAGTCCTTCTTTATTTCCCCCCCCCCAAACTCTACAATGGATTTCTTAAACAGGGTGCATAGCCAAATCTTTGAATAAAAAATAAGCACTTTTTAAAAACTTTTCAAGCACTCAAAAAATTTATATTCAATCAATGATATTATTGAAAAACAAAAACTTTTTATAAACAGTTTTAGCGTTAAAAAAACCCCCAAAAAGAAACGGGCGTAAATCGAAACAATCAGTGCTTTCCCACAACACCAAGTTAATTCAACTTGACCCTGAACTCAGAACAAAAGTATCCTTACCCCCTACGTCAAAAAAAGTGTTAGAAGTAAAATAAAATAAACAAGAACGAACTTAAAATAAATTAAAAAGAAAAACATTTCATGAGGATCTGATATTCTCTATCCGAATTGGAGCACTCGGAGCAACTCCCCATTTTTCGTGAACAGCATGGATGGGATCCACCAGATATCACTGAAGGGAGAAAAAAAATTATTCGAAAAAAAAGCACTTTTTAAAAACGACAGCTGAAAAAAGCACCTTTAAAAGCTTTTAAAAACGAAATCCCCCAAAAAGCACCTTTAAGTACTTTTTACAAACGCTACGCACCCTGTTAAACTCTATTATTTTCAACTCTTTTTATTTAGTTTGTCATTGCTGTCAATACATAGATTTATATGGGAAACTAAAAATAGCCATCACACTCTCTTGCTGCACTTGTCTTTGAAAGTTTGCAGTTACTTCTACTATCATTAAATCATACTTATTATTATTAATCATTTTAATAATTAAATCATAACTACAGACACTCAAAAACACACATTTATTATTTTAATAATATATGCATGCACTTCAAATAAATTACTAAGCTAATTAGCTCATTAACTCTATATATATATATGTTAATTTATTAATAAAAATAAGTAATTAATATGATTGCTTTGCTACCTTTAGTAAAGTTATGTAATATGTAATAGTAGTATAGTATGAATATATGTAATAGTAGTCAGAATTAAATATATAAACACAGATAAATTTTAACATTGAGTAATTAAGGCAGTGTTTTGAAGGTTCAGTGGCTTATTTTTACAAAAAAGGTGAAGAGGACACATTTATTTGGATCAAAGGGCAAGCTGAACGGATAGCTCTTCAAAAAATACTTAAGGAGAACACCGATAACTGTATTATTGAAACTGTGACAACAGTGGTTAAGGCCATCAACAATCATTCTAAAAGGACCAAAGTTCTAATCTTAGTTAAGACTTGAACCCAAATTTAAAGCAATAAGTACAGTGAGTCTAAGAAATAAAAAATGGATGGTGGACAACAATATTCAGATTGTCTCCATAACACCAGTCATAAATATAAGAAACTACCACAACCTCTCTGGCAGACCAACTAGGTAGTTGGTACAAAAATGTTAAACATTGTTGTTATACATATTTCATTATAGCAGTGCTTAACACATTTATAGACTGTATTGTTTTGATGTTTTATGGTGAGTATTTGACATTAAACTAAGATTCTTTAAATTTGAAAAATTTAGATTGTAGGAACTTAATTAGGATTATTTAAAAAAAAAAAAAAAAAAAACTTTTTTAAAAAGTTTCACAAGACTTTTTTTCACAAAAAATTAAGAAGTACTTTTTTCCTTAAGAAAAACTGATCCATTTATTAGGCTAAAATTAAATTTTGCACTAAAATACTTCAAAACATAGGAATTGTTATAAAAATGAACATTTAAAAAAAAAAAAATTGTTTTACAAATAGCTTAATTATTGAAAACAAAGTCAATAATAATAATAAAACTACAAATTAAAGCATGACCTACCAATTTCTTAGCATTTAATACAAAAATCATCTTTTGATAAATTATACTGTCTATAATAGCAAAAGTCAAATGCTGCTGTTCTGCAAGACTCATACTTAAAAATATATAAAAACAAAACATCTAAAGTAACAAAAAATCACATGGTTGAAGATAACAAAAACAGCCTATAACAAAAAGCAAAGAATTAGAAGAATGGGAAGGGGGAGAGAAGAGGAAGGTCACTAGAACATAGAGTTGTGGAGCTCTTTGTATATTCTATGAAAACTAAAAGCTTCTGACAAGCTGCACTGAATATTTACAAATAATTCAAATGGAAGCAATATATATTTAATTTTCTGACATATTTAAAAAATAAAAATAACTCTTTTTAGAAAATGTTTAAATGTTAAAACAATGCTTTTAGTTTTTAAAGAAGATATTTATAGGAAAAAAAAACCCTCATACAATACAAATAATACTTTTAGATAACAAGCAAGGAAATATTAGCTTGTTCATACAGGGGTTAATCTAAAAATATTATAGAAAACAAGAAAAATTTTTCATTTAAGCAAAATACCCTTATTTAGACCTTAAATATAGTAAATAAAAAAAATCTGAGCAAGTTTGAATAACATTAAAGACTAAATTCACTGCAAAAGACATTACGCTGGGATAAATTTTTAATAAAAGTTGCTACCTAAAACAGCTAAATTAAAATAAACAATAAAAAATATATACATTTCTACAATGTTTGGAAATCTCATGACAGGTCTCTTGTACTATTGCAATTTAGGAAAATATTTGAGTTTACTTATGTTCGTTATTTGTTTTCTCATGAAGAACTTCGAAATTTGAAAAAAAAAGTACAACATTAAAAGTCAGGTGTATCGTTGAAAACCAAAACATAGCAGATGACTATGCATCGTAAATTACATCACCTGTGTAAACACAGGAGTAGTGTCCCGGTAATTTAAACAAAAATACAGATTGAAAAAAAGTAAGTCCATAAACATTACCTCGCCTTAGGACGTAAGCTAACTGAATTCTTTAGAAAAGATTTAAAGTAAAGGTAAAATATTGCATTTTAGGTCGTCATTAATATTACTTGTAAGGTGTTTATATTTATGTCACTGTAAAGGAAATGTGACAGACAGCGCATGTATGCTGAGATTGCTGCCAGCTTAATTTGCATAATTTGCACTTATCATTAACAAGAAAGATTTATAGGTAGCGCTGCTGAATTCTTCGCAAACCAACCAACTTATGATGGGGCAAATTTTGTTGAATTTTGGGATAATCTTAAAATTCAATTCTTATTTAAGTATCAATTATCAATTCTTGTAGAACAGAAGTTTGAAAGATTATAAAATAAAAATTTCAGAAGCTCTCCATTTTTATTGTTTTTACAAAAATATGTAGACTGAAAACATCACAAAATCATCAAGAAATACATTTTTTTTGGTTTTATCTACGATTGAGGTTATATTAGCACAAAAATAAGTAGAAATTAAGAAAAAAAATTGAAAAGGTCTAACCATTAGGTTTTTATTTTATTTTCAATTTTAACCTTGAAAGCATTTTATTTCATTTTAGTGTTAATAAGTAGGTGTATTATAAAAATTATTTTATCATTTGTATTTATTATAATTTTTTTAAAATTATTTTTTTAATTATTTATTGTAATTTAATTTTGATTCTAGACTTTATTTTGCTTAGATGCTGAGAAAGAATAATTTTTCCATTAAAATCTATAAACACTATCAAAAGAAAGGTTAAGTGGAATAGAAATTCTCAGGTAAGTTCTATTTATTCATTTCATTATTCTCATTATAGATAAAACCTGATTTTTAAAATTGTAAATTAAGAATTTATATTAAGTGAATTTTATCTCTTATTAATTAGAGAATTCCATATTGACCACTTTAAAGCCATTTATAAATAAATAATAATAAAAAAACTTTCATATAGTAATATTTCCAAGACTATGTACTTTTTATGGCAAATAGAAAAATTAAAGATATTGATGAGTATTTATATTTTATGATTAATTTGCATTATTACTTCTTTTTAAATAAATGACATAATTATTTTTTTTTCAGTGATAATCAATTAAATAAAATTTACAGTTTGTTCTATTATATGTCTCAATATCATGTTTAGGCAATATTAATATTTAAATTTTACTTTTAAGCTTGCAGTGTTTTTTCCTGTTAATTCATCATTCTTTTTAGTTAGCAATTCAGTTACCTATTTTCTAAGATCACATATGGAATAATTTAACTATTTTAAGTATTTCACAAATCTGAACTTATTTTTTTCTTCTTCTGGGAACAGTCCTTTAAGTTTTAATGTCTTTCATTTTAGTTATCTCTTATGCTATAGGACTATTTAAAGATTCTTTATAAAATTTACTAAAAGGACAATAAAACAATTTATTGGAGTTTATTTCTTTAATTTCTTTAATTAAGAAATCCACAAATTTAAATTTATTGTCAAAAACTAAATTTTTATTCCTTCTTATCTCCGGGATTTTCTTTTCCATTAATTTTACTGTCTAATTATTCACATTACTATTTAATTTTCAATTGTTTGGCTTCCTTAATTTTAGTTTTAGTTAATTTTAGTGGGTTGATTTTTTTAAAGCTTATTTTGAGAAAGGTGAACTTGGCCAATGATTCCGCTAGACTTTTAAAAGTATATATGTATATATATATGTAATACAAAAATTATAAATACTTTTGTATTAATAAAAGCATTAAAACTCTTTCGTTTTCATATAATATCTTTGGTAAAGGATAAGTGTAGAAATTCTATTTTGGGACTTCAAGGTTGAAAACATACCAATGAATAATAATTAGATTTATATTTCAAAAGAGAAGTTATTTTAAGATCTTTCACTTCCATATAAGGAAAGATTAAACGATTTGCTATGAGTAATAAATAAATTTGATGAGGCGTAAGAATACAAAATAGGTAATAATGACTGGCCTCTTCACAACTTTTAATCATCCTATAAAACGCTGGAGCAATGTTTTTGCGTGGCTTTTTGGTATTTCATGCTTACAAATTAAACTCAGTCTGATCTGACTGAAACTCTCCCTCTCCGGCTGAAGAGGGGTGAAACTGCTATTTCACCATCGTTTAGTAAAATAAAAGATTATGCCGAAACTGGACTCCTTAATCATGCTGTTTTGACTTCTAATTGACTAAAAAATATCGATGTGGATACACCGTTATTTCATATATATATATATATCCACTTTCCCTGTTTTCCAAAATATTTCGGAACATTTTGTTAACGCATTTTATGGGGGAACTGACCTTGAATTAATTTTCTAAGCCACTGCTTTATGTAATGTTTAACTGCTTTCTCTAAAAGTTATTTTAGAGGAAGCAGTAAAGTCCCTTTCCCTTTTTGTTTGCATTTCAAACGAAAAACTCAGACAAAATTAACGGATTTTATCAGTAACAATTAAACTTAAGAACGCATGTGATAATGTATGTTTAAAATTACTTTTGTAATAAAATCAGGTGTAATTTTATACATAAATTTAGCTTTTTTTTAGTTGAAAATGTATGTAGCATAATTTTTGCTCTGTTCTTGCTTTCCATGCAAATTTCTTTTATGGTAATGATTTATAAAATAAATAGATACTAGTTTACAAGATGAAGGTGCATCAATCGCTATTTTAATTATGCTTAGTGTTCTGTTTTGTGTTGTTCAAGAATTTTAAAAGGTGATTTTCTATTTAACGAGTTTTCCATATAACGAACTTATTATCGAGATTTAGCGACTTCGTCAAATAGAGGCCCGACTGATCTTTTTACTCTTAATAGGTTTAAACTCAGGAAACAACTTTCAGTTTATTACAGAAATGTCTAGTAGCCCCCGTATCTATTACTCAATTATAATTCTTATGTTAACTTTCTTTGTAGTTAGAGTTCTTTAAGTATAAGTTTTATTTAAGATGGAAAGGAAAGTGTGTAGCAGAAAAGTCATTTTTTTGACATTTGCGTTCCGTATCTCTTCTGTAAACCATCCAAAAGCAAGGGGTGAGGAAGTAATTGCTTTAAGTTTCATGTTTAAGATTAAGATTGCTTTGAAATCAGTGAATAAACATATTAACAACGAGTAAGTAGTGAATTTAACAGCAGTGAATTTATTTAAGGACGAGTGAATGAATTTATTAATTCATAAATTTTTTTGTGAACCTACAAATTGTGCAACGTCAGTCGGCGACAACAATTTTTTTTTCGAATGGCAGGCACTGAACTTTATTCGTTTCGCCTTAGAAGATGCCAGAGTTGTTACTCATTTCGCTTTGCCCAGTGGGCACCTGTGAACCAAAGTCACGGAGGCGAGTAACATTGCCCACGCCACACTTCCACAAACCCGTTCATAGGGTGGGCCACATTCACCCATCACACACAACAGAGGACAACACAAGAGAGAGAAACATCCATGCCCAGAGCGGGATTCGAACCCGCGGCCATTGGCTTCGCAGACAGGCTCGCTAACCTCTCTGCCACCTGGCCGGCCGACAGCAATTTTTAAAATAGTTTTTAACAAAATTGCGACATATTGAATGTTAACCTTTAAAATATCAATTCAAATATGTACAGTTACTTTACTTTTCTTATTTTACAATCGTCGTTGAACAGCTGACCCAAATTTTTGGTTTACGACTGTTAATGTTCAACACCGTATCCTTGTAATTTTGAACCCAATCCAGTAAGCAAGGGAACTCCTGGATCAAGTATTGGGAGAAATTTGCCTTCGTTTAGGAATTTTTGATGGAACTAACTCATATTTGCGTTACATGGAGAGGAAAACCACGACAACCTCCCACGGTCAGCCTAACGCAAAGGGACTCCAACCGTCTACCACTGAGGATGTTTCACGTCAGCACTGTGGTTGGTGCAAGCCGGATGCGGAATTCGTATCGACCAACCATCTCTGGGATTCGAACCCGGTACACCTCTGGCGTATGCTCCGAGCTGTTCAAGGTGTAAGGTTTTTCATGTTTTGAGTGTTATCTCTTGTTTGACTATACTTGTATAAAATATCACCGTTAGTTATTTTTTGGGTTGCGTTTTGCAAAGCATAGCTTGCTCGCGAAATTTTCCAAATTCATATGTTGTTTGTTTCGTTAAAATTCAAATTGAAATAGCGCGTTATATTTGAAACACTACCAGTATAATAATATTTGATGGCGGCCTTTTTTCAAGCTTAGGCCTAACAATCAATTTAACCCCTTGCGCCATTTTTGCTTAGCTTTGCACAGTCAACCATCCATAGGCTGTCAAAGATTAAGAGTATGAATGAACTAACTATCGAAAAATTCAAAGAACGTTTGATTTAGATTTAGGATCAAGTTTAAGTAAAAGCTTTTTCGTGGTAACTGTAATGAGTTTTTCAATCGTCAGCATAAAGTTATAAACGAAATTGGGGAAAGATTTTAGTTTTCTTTCATATAAGAAATGAATCATTAGTCGCATTTGGATGTAAAACTATTTTGGAATATTGTTTTTTATTATTTGCAGGGTATGATTTCGTTTTTATTTTTTTTAAATCAGTATTAATGCTAACTAAAAAATTTTAGTTGCAAATCCAAGTATATACCAGTATTTTTAGAGCATTATCGCAATACAGTTTCCGATGCAGGAAATGAAACACAGGTAATTATTACTGTGGGACATATTTCTGCATAATCATTTCTGTAGGACAATAAAGTTCAAATAGCATTACTATATGCCATTTTTATGCTAAAAATAGAGGTGTATGTTTATTTTTAGGCCTTAGTCGTCAGATGTAGCGCACAACAAGTAGTGAAACTGTTGTAGTCGCTACTTTTTTTCGTAGTTCGTAGTTCTACTTTTTTTTAAAAAAAAAGTAGAGTAGTGAGTAGTGCGATACCAAAAAGCAGTAGTTTGTAGCGAATCCTGACAACTACTTTTAACGTTAGCTTAGAAAGGAAACACTGTTCTAAAGCAATTAATTTTTTGATTTGAAGTGTACAAATCTTTGTGGATCAATGAATGCAATAAAAATGACCCTACGGATGCAGCTGAGCGTTAACAGAAATTACGTATTTAAAATTACGCATGATTAATATTTAAATCAGCCATTACAAAAAATGGATAATTAATCACTTTGGTCGCACTTTCACATGTG